CAACCACATGGCCTGGGAAGTGTTTTTCCTTTATGTATCTTCTTTTTTTTTTTTTTTTGTCATTTTTGAGACCGGCCGCACCGCGCTCAGCCAGTGAGCGCTGTGAGCGCACCGGTCATCCCCATATAGGATCCGAACCCGCGGCCGGAGCACTGCTGCACTCCCAGCGCCATATTCTCCCGAGTGCGCCACGGGCTCGGCCCACCTTTATGTATCTTCTGAGGAGCAGACTGTTCACAGCAGTCCAGGTACAGCATAGCTTGATGTGTGGGGAGGATGTTCCTTATACATTTTCTATATGAGGTCAGTTTAGTGGCTGTTCTGCCCAACAGATCAACAGAAGCATATTGGGCCAGGATCCTCAGGAAATCATCCACAATTAGTACCAGATGAGAATGCATTTTTCAGACCAGTGCTGTCCAATAGAACTTTCTGTGATGACAAAAACATTCTGTATCTGTACTGTCCTTTACATTAGTCCTGAGGCTATTGAGTACTGGAACTGTGACTTGTGGGGCTGAGGAGCTAAATGTTTGCTTTTATTTAATTTTAATTAATTTAAATTTAAATAGTCACATGTGGCTAGTGGCTATTTTATTGAACAGTGCAGGTGGAGAATGAAAGCTTGGAATGTGAGAACTTAAAACCAGTTTATCCTAATTATATTATCTTCCTGGGACATATTTCTCTCAGTTTACCTGGAAAAGTTGGCTATAATACACAGCCTTGGAGATTTTGTGTTCCTTTAGATCATCTATAAAGATGCTAAAAAAGATGCTTCTAACGATTTCTCAAAACTCCATTCTCACACTTCTTTAGCCAGATACATGTCTGTTTACTCAGCTGTTGATTCCTTTTTCTAAATCCATTCATTTTCCCTGACAAAATAGTCTCAAGCCCTATCCCCGATTCTTCTATTTGCCTCTGATCCCCCTGTGACACCTTAGCCTTTGGTTTAAAATCTTTCAGATGTTTCTGAAAAATTAAAGTAAATCACATTCACAGGTGCCCAGGTCAACTTATCCTAAATAAATATACTGGTTGGGCATGATTTCCCACGTACAGATCCTGATTCTATGTCCTTGGTTGATTATTCTTGTTTGCTGGGTTTAGTGATGCTACCCTTCGTCATAAACCCCACTTCCTTGAGAAACAGAGGGGGTGCATTGGCTATAACCCCTCTCCTCTGGGCCCCTTGGGAGTCCTGCTTATGCACGGGAGTCATTTGTAATCCTCCAAGTCACTGGCACAGCAGCTATCTCTAATGCAAGACACATTTTTGCCAACAGTTGCCTGGTTTTCATTCTTGAGGTTCTCAGGTAAGTGCCAGGCTTGACTGGACCCAACACATTTGACTGACGACTTCCTGAGAATAGAGCCAACACTTCCAATTTTCCCATCTCAGGGCCCACTTTTGGAATGGGAACCTGCCCTATAGCCTCTTTAGGAGAGAGCTAGTAATTCTGTCTGTCATTTGTCAGGCCCGTGAACTCATTAGGAAGCAGTATCATGTGGCAGTCAGTGGATGGCTTCTGGAGCTAGGGTTTAAATCCCATCTGCTTATCCTAAATAAATATACTGGTTGGGCATGATTTCCCACGTACAGATCCTGATTCTATGTCCTTGGTTGATTATTCTTGTTTGCTGGGTTTAGTGATGCTACCCTTCGTCATAAACCCCACTTCCTTGAGAAACAGAGGGGGTGCATTGGCTATAACCCCTCTCCTCTGGGCCCCTTGGGAGTTCTGCTTATGCACGGGAGTCATTTGTAATCCTCCAAGTCACTGGCACAGCAGCTATCTCTAATGCAAGACACATTTTTGCCAACAGTTGCCTGGTTTTCATTCTTGAGGTTCTCAGGTAAGTGCCAGGCTTGACTGGACCCAACACATTTGACTGATGACTTCCTGAGAATAGAGCCAACACTTCCAATTTTCCCATCTCAGGGCCCACTTTTGGAATGGGAACCTGCCCTATAGCCTCTTTAGGAGAGAGCTAGTAATTCTGTCTGTCATTTGTCAGGCCCGTGAAATCATTAGGAAGAAGTATCATGTAGCAGTCAGTGGATGGCTTCTGGAGCTAGGGTTTAAATCCCATCTCTCTCACTTACCACCAGTGTGGCTTTGGGCAAGTTATCCCAAATAGGGGTAGTAAGAGTTCATCTCCCATAGGGCCCTTACAAGGATAAAGCAGGTTGGTTTGCATAAGGCATTTATTTACAGCAGTACTTGCTACAAAGTAAGTGCCGTCTAAGTGTGAGCCATTTTTATTACCATAGCAAAGTTTTCTTCCTTGGTTTATTTGACAAACTTCTGGCAAACTTTTTTTCTCTTTTGAAATCACTCAGCAGGCACTCTTTAAAGTCTTCTTTTGCTGCCGCATTTCTAGCTTTCACCAAATCTGTCATACATTCCAACCTTCTCTGTTGGCCTCACTTGGATTCTCCTACCTGTTTCCGGTGAGCCAGAAGAAGGATTTTTTTTTATCTCTGGGAATCTTGTTTATATCGCATTGTGGTGCACATTTTCCTTCCTTTCTGATACTGTACTTTAAAAGTTTTAGATTTGTAAATTCTACCTTCACACTCTCATTCTAAGACTGAATAGATGATAACATTTATTCCCAATTCAGCCCCGTAAGACCCCACTCTTCCCTCTTTTCTTTTCCTCTCGGCTCCTGGAGTTCCCTTCAGGAATAGCCTGGGTTGTTGTGAGCCCCAGGGCTGAGTGATGATCTCAGTAGTCTAGTTGAGCTCCTTGGAGAAGGTAGGGCCAGAGCGAAAGCTGGGAAGGCAGAGACATTACAAAGACAAATGCGCTTTATTGATAAGGCAACAGCACTATGCATGGCTGAGGCAGAGAGCCCAGTGGGCCAGGGCCACATGGCGCAGAGGTGAGGGGAGTCTGATTCACATTGAGACAGAGCCTTTGAGTGTCTTCCCTCCTCCTTCTGATGGGTTGGTGGTTACAACCCAGGGAAGGAAGGTAAGAAGGAAGGGTGCCGGATCTAGACTTGCTCCGTCTAAAATCCAGGGCTTCCCCCAAGGGACTGGGTCAGCCACCAGGGGAATGGGAAATGGGATCTGAGCTCAAGCATGGTGTATTAAAAGGGCACCTGACCAAGAGTCCAAAGTCCGGTCCAGTGCAGGCGCTACTTCTAACTAGTTATATGATCTTGGGTGAATCACATTCTCCTCTAAGTGTCAGTTTTCTTTAACAAGGGGGTGGAACTAGTTTAGCAGTTTTCAAACTTTTCCTCCCACTGACTAGCAAGCTGGACCAATGTGTTCTGCAGCTAAAATCAAATAAGGGTTTTTCCCCAGATCCGTGTAAAATAACAACAACAATAATAATTAATGTACAGACATTTCACATGTAAGTTTCCCCCCCCATAAATATCTCTGAATTAGTGGTGCCTGCTACCCTCTATGTTAGAATATAGCACAAATGGAGTCTGATTCTGAAAACAACTCATATCTAATACATTTAAGATTAAGCCATATATATGCTATTCTGCACTAAAGGTACATGGCTTTCAGATGTTTTTCCACCTGAAGAATTCTCAGAAACACGGGGCCAAGTGGGCATTGCTGGCTACTGCAGTGTTAAGTCTGATTCCTCCCAGGGTTCTCAGGGAACAGATGCCTGTGGAGGGGCACACTTTCTGGGGGTTTGGGCAGCCATGTTCCCTCTGACATTACCTCCCTGCTGATACACTGAGCGCGGCCATGCTCCCCAAACTCAAACAATGATCTGAAATACCTCTGTGACTCCTCCTGGAAGAACCCCTTCCGCACAGGTCCCGCACACCCACAGCCCACTCTCACCAAGGAACCCCACCCTAGAGTAAATGGACCGAGGGTTCCCACCTCCCAGGCTGGGCTGGTTACAGAGAGGACATGGCGTTTGAAGTTACATACCCTCTCTCCCACCTTACAGGCTCCTTTTGACCTTTGGGTGGTGGGATGAGAATAAGAAGGGAGCAAACCCCACATCACCTCGCCACACTCACTCACTCTGACAAGGCCCAGAGGCAACCCACTCTCCCTGCACCTGCACCCTGAGGTGCTGGAGCGCTGGCTCCTGGCTCTGTGGTGAAGAGCAGTGTTGAAACCACACCTACGCAGGCAGGGAGAGCATGGCTTGGCTGCTGGGGTCCGAAAATTCTCCTCCATCCCACCCTGCCAGGTGGAGAAAATGAGCCCCCCCCCCCCCCCGCCAGGGGGGGAAAAAGGGCCCCCCCCCCCCCCGGTAAGCAGAGAACGAGGCACTGCCCCTGCAGACTGGCGCGGTGGGAAGGTGGGCCAACTTCTGGGTCACCCTTGGCGATCCATAGGTGAGGCTCCCCAATGCTGACGTGGGAGGTAAGGCACTGGCAGGGGAGGAGTGAGGACGGTGCTGGCGCTTCTCTGCAACCTAGGGCAATTCAGCCCTGCCACATGGATCCTTGCTGGGGGAGCTCCCACCTCGACCAACGCCTTCAGTCTAGGCCACAGGTCATGGGCTTGGCGACCAGGACTGCCATCCACTGCTCTTCTATGAGGCTGTTTTTTTGGGGGGGGCTGTGGCTAGCCAGTGTGGGGATCCAAACCTGTGACCCTGGTGTAACATCGTGCTCTAACCAACTGAGCTGAGCAGGCTGCCTTGAGGATGGTTTTGTCTGTTCACTACCAGGCCCTGGATTCTCCCCTCCCTGTACCTCCCAGCAGGTGGGCTCTGGGCCAGTGGCTTCAGTGACAGGGAGAAAACCCACTTTGCCAGAGCTACTGCCCATGGCAGCATTACCATGGCAACAGATGATGGTGGGCACTGAGGGACTAGGAAGTTCCTTTGGCCAGCAGAGGTGAGCAAGGAGAGAGTTGTGACCTTAGTCACCTTGTTTTTGGTTATCCTTGGCAGTGAGTGTCCTAGACAGGCCAAAGGCTAGAAGGCAGACGGAGGAGGCCCCATCATGGCAGGCTGCCCTGGGACAGAACAGAACTGACTGGCAGCAAGATGGGGGGTGTTTGTGGAGCACTTATTTATCATGGGTGGTTGGAGTCGGGGAGATCCCCACCAGGCTCTGAACGTGTGGGCCTGGAGTTGGGGGGAGGTACAGGTATCACTGTCCCTGAGAAATGGGTGCATTTCTCCTGCCTCCTGTTCCCTCAGCACCAGCCAGCAGCCGTTTACAGCGTGGTGGGGACATGTCCAGGAGAGGGCCCGCCTTCAGCCTCTGCCCTCTGCCTCCACTTGAGTTTCTTTGTCAAATAAACAGCAACTCCTTAAGACTGAGGCCTCAAGGGGCTGGAGCAGCCTGTGGCCTGCAGGAACAGGCACCTGGGGTTAGGTTGGTCAGGAGAGACGATGGATGGGCCGGGTGGAGAGGGGAAGTGGCAGAGGAGGGGCTGCGCTCTAGAGGGGATGGGAAGGGCTGCTGAGCAGTAGCCAGCCCCGGGCCTGGGCACACGGCCCTGGAGGAGCAGCCCCTCCCAGGTGCCACCTCAGACTGCCCTAGTCAAGAGATCTCATTGCCAAAGACCTCAAGCACGAGGGGCGTGAGCTTCATGCTGCACTCAGGCTGGAAGGAGAGGCAACGGTACTGCTTGGAGTGCTCCTCATTGAGACTGCGCAGGTCAGCCAGCTTCTGGATCATCTTAGCATAGAGCAAGTGACTGCCCGGGGGCGGGTGGCGGCAGCGGATGTAGGTCTGCAGCGTGTTGGATAGGCGGTCCTGGATGGCCTCGATCAGCGCGGCATCCTGCACCCCAGGACGGTCTGTGGACACAGGGGCAGGAGGAGAAGACATAGGAGCTCTGATGGGTCCCTCACTGCTCAACCTCCCCCCTCCCCCCACAGACACCCAACCTCAGCACTTCCCTAGGCCACCCCTACATGGCTGCTGACCTGTGACACCACCCTCCTGCCTACAGTCTCTCACCAACTTCCCATTGCATTTAGGTCCTTCCATGGGCCCATTTGGCCCTGTCCCCACCCCTCCTAGCTCCTCGTCTCTATGCTCTGCCCTTCCATCGGTGTCCTGATGCGCCATGCTCTCTGGCCTCCAGGCTTCACACTTGTGTTCCCTCTGCTTGAAACTCAGCTCTTCTGTATTTGCCTGACTCTTACTGATCCTCAGGGTAACAGCTTCCTCAAGAAGGTTGCTCCTGAGAGCCCTCTACCTCCCTGCCCCGGCCTACGTCAGTTCCCTGCTTCTATCTATTATCCTGTAGTATCATGGACTTCTTTTTTAAAGCTCTCATCACATCAGGAATTAGTTGTTGAACAGCGTTTGTTTACTGTCTCCTCCTAAGCTCCATGGGAGAGACATCTGTGTGCTGTCTGCTGCTCCTGTGCCAAGCGCAGAGCCTGGTGCCTAGTGGGTGTGCGATAAATCCTTGCTGGTGTTTGAATGCAGGTGGGGCAGGGGAGGGGAACCCACATCCACTCCTTGGGCTCCCAGCCCAGGAAGGCATCCCTGGGCAGACGCCACTAGCTTGTCCCCTGAACACAGTCCAGGCTGGGGTGAGGCTGCTCCATTTGGGCTTCATTACCAATGTAACATCCCCAAGGCCATAATAACCTCCTCCTCAGACTTTTCTCTTTCTTCCCATCCCAAACAAGCAGAGAGATCAAGGGTCATGGCACACTGCCTCCAAACTCAGTCAGGTAAATCTAGGCAGAACCATCCATCAAACCCAGGGTTTTTACCCTGCCTTTGAGGAACCTCAAGTGACAGGAGAGTTCAGCCCAGTTCACACAAGAGCAGAGTCTCAGTAATCCTGGGCTTGTCTGTGGCCTGAGGAACCCCGTTTATCTGGTTCTTCAGACTCCTGCCTGTGAAACTCTGTAAGGGCAAGCCAAGGGCACCTCAACACACACACGCCACATGGGCTGTGCAAACCCAGCAAAGAGGGTTTGCCTCTCCTTTTGCTCACCTCCCCCTCCAGACTGCCCTGCTGGCCCTCAGCAGGTCTCTGTCCCTCACACTGCCTGCTCCCCAGGTCTCTGGTTCCTCATGGCTAGGCCTTACCTGGGGAGACGATGCAGATGGCCATGAGCAGGACATGTTCCTCCTCATGCAGGTTCAGCTTCTTCAGCCCAACCTGGAACTTGACGAGCGGCTCAATCAGCTCCAGGCTGTGTCCGGCTGGGAGAGACAATAGCCAGGTGCTGTGGGCAGAACTCAAGAGCCACCCAGCCTACCTCCAGCCCAAACTGATGATGCCTAGCCCCCTTCCATGTGGCTGATGGGGGCCCATGAGCCCAGGAGGGCTGAAGCCAGTGTCAGGGAGCTGAAAACGTCAGAGGCAGGGTCTAGATGTACCTTTGGTCACATCACTGACGCAGTACTTGTATTCCTCGTTGCCGCAGGTCCAGGACATGTCATCCATGGTGAAGGATTGGTTAGAGCGCAACATGATGACCTCGATGGCACTGGACTTCAGCAGCACGATCTGGTCTTCAGAGGTCAGGTCTCTGCCAGGGAAGGCAGGGGAGAAGGTCAGGCTGTCAGTCAAGACCTTCAAGTCATACACAACAGTTTAGTGTTTTGACAGATCCACACCTGCCAGGTGACCAGCATGTACCCTGGGTCCTCCATCAAGGAGCTTGCAGCCTGGTTGGAATGGACCGAGTGTTCCTTGAGGGAGAACAACTCAAGTCTGTGATCATGTGCCCAGGTGAGAAGTGAAGTAACTCAGATACTAAGACAAGGAAAACCCAGTGACTAAGCAGCCGGAGCTACTAGAGACAGGAAGAGAGAGCCTGAAGGAGCCCCCAGTGTTGTGGCATGAGTATAGTGGTCTACAGATGGTATAGTTAGAGTCATCTTCAACAACTCCCACGTTTTCTTTTCCTCTCCTCCTCCTGTTCTCCCGTCCTTCTCAGTAGTAAACTTAGCCAACTCTGTCTCCAACACATCTCTCAAGCCCTTGGCCTCATTCCTTCTTGCACCAGGACTGCTGTAGTTCAGAGCTCCATCATCTTTTACAATAGCCTCCTACTGGAATCCTGGACTCACCTCTCAGGTCTTTTGTTCATCTTTCTTACTACTGCTAATGCCACTCTTGTGCTCGAAATCCTCACTGACTCCCAAACACCCCAGGAGTACAATAGAGTTATCATACGCTATAACTTGGCTCCAACCTGTCTTTCCAGCCCCTTTCCCGCTGCAAACTCCATTCCAGCAGCATTGGGCTACTCCGCTTTCAAGTTTCTCATGCCACCACGCCTTGGAGCATGCTGTGGCTCCAGCCTTGGATACCCTTCTAATGCTCCATCTCATCTTCCTGGACCTGAATCCAGTGTGGTCTTCCTTAGAGCTCCCTCCTCTCCAATTCTCTTTGACAGAATTAGAGCCATCTCTTTATGACCTGCTGCGCATTGCTTGTGCTCTGATTTTGCCCTATCCGCTTGGGCTCTGTTCTCATATGCTTGTCTCTGACTGTTATTTGTACATTACTTGAGGGCCAGCACTACTTCTTAATCACCTTACTGTTGCCCACACTGATCTCTGAGCCCTGAGCACAAGAGGATCAATCAATAAATATATGTTGATGAGTCAAGAGGCCAACAACTAGTTCCACTATTCTGAGTCACACATTGGGCTTGTCTAAACAATGGCAAATAAGAAGCAGGGCCCAGAGATCAACTTGCTCCTGTCTTTCCCTCCCTTTCCCTTTCTGACGATTTCTTCATGGATATCTGGTAGATAGCGTCAGGAATCCTCTGTGTACATAATGATAGGAAGCACATATTAACTGATGAAAGTTCTATATCAACAGGAGACAGATGATAGAGAATGAAAAGGCTTTCATGATTTGATGACCAGCAAAGGATCTGTATTAAAAAAAAGTGCTAGAGTTAGAAGGCCCCTCTTAAGAGACTATGTGGTCTGATTCCATCTTCAGTATTCCTGACAAATGGCTCTTATTCAGCTTCTGCAGGATTCTCCTGGTGCCAGGGAGCTCACGGCCTCTGGATACAGCCAGGAGGTTGTTAGACAGCTCCTGGGTTAATGGCATCTTCTTCTGTGAGCTACAATCCACATGATGATACACTCATCCCTTGCTTACAGTTTTGTACCCTCAAGGAGCACAGAACCAGACTTCTCCATTCTCAAGTCATGCTGAAGAGAAAGAAGTCAACCCAAGGATGTTCAGGATCCATTCAACCCATTTTGCATTAATAGCTGGGCAGCTCCAGAAACTGCCTATATGTACCTCACTTTGGCCATGACTGTGGGCTAGACTAGGGAACCCTGGGGATATGAGGAAAGAAAGGGGCACACTTCAGCTCAGCCTTGGGGAGAGAAATTGGGGGGAGGGTAGTGCTATAAAAATATAATAGCAAGTAAAAATTGCTCATAACCACAATTATGGTGTACTTTCTTCCTACCTTTTTTCCATGCAAACGTATATATATTTAACATATTTGAGTTCATACTAATTCTGCATCCCACTTATTTCAGTAAAAACTCCTTAGCCCAGTTCTTAGTAGGTTGCATAATGTTACATCATATCAGTATACTCTGTTATTTAATTGGTCTCCAATTCACCTATTTTTGTACGTTTTGGTTGCTTCTAATTTTTGCTATTATGGGTTATTCTCTGAGGACTATCTTTGTACATAACCTTCTGTTCAATGCCCCATTCAAAATGGATGGCCAGAAGAGAACATTCCATGAGTACTTGGTCAGAGAGATTTCAGTGGGATCCAGACATGCTACTGCAAACCTAAAACGACCCCAAATTTCTGCCCACAGCCTGGAAATACAGGGACTTTCTAAGTGCAGTTCACAGCCAGAACTGGGAATGGGGGTGGGGTGGGGTGAGGAGGAGTCAAAGGGGAAACCAGTAAGAGCTTGCTCTGCTGTGACAGGCACCAGCTCAGCTCTGTGCCTCGTGCCTGACCTGTGTGATGTTTATACCCTCATCAGTCTCTCCACCTGAGGCAATTTAGATGTGCCCTGGAATGGTGTTGCTGTCTGGGCTTTCCCACTCCCACAGGCAAGGTCCAGCCCCTCCCCTCCTGTATTCCCACGGTACCTCTAGCAGGTTTCTAGAGGAGCTCTTATCGCTTTGCAGCAATTGTTTACAAGTCTATCTCTTCCATCAGACACTGAATCCCTGGAGGCCAGGGATTGTGTCCTACTCAACTTTCATCCCTCACCATTTATATGAGAGCTGTTTCTTGGGTAGAGGAAAAGGCATAGGAGGAAGGAACCACTATGACCCCCCAATGACTATGATGAATATGTATTACTTGTGTATAATCTTTTTTAAATTAAAAATGTTAACTTGTTTACATTTTTGGATAGATATATGCTATACTGAACATACCATTACCCTTTCTCCTCTCTGCCACTTCATTCTGGTCTCAGAACTGGGTGTGTTGGAATAATATAGATTGAATTTAAAGAGATAATACGTAGATTAGAGTCAAGCCAGCTGGAGTGGACACAGCAGTGAACTGGAAGTTCCAGGTCCAGTCCTGACGTGCTGGCCCCAACACCAGAAAGGGATCCTGGCTGGCCATTAGACCTCTCTGGGTGTTCATTCTGTCTTTCAGAAAGTCTGGGAAGGGATGGGCTATACCTCCCCAAATGCAGATTCCTGGGCCTACCCCAGAGATTGTGATTTAGGAGTCTGGGGTAGGGGCTGTGTCTCTGTTTTGGGAAGCAGTGGACTAATGGTCTCCAAGCCTTCTTTTTGCTCAGTCTAGGATTCTGACTGTGCTTCCCAGGTGTTGCATTAGCTTCTTACCTGAATCCTGGAATCATCTTGGCAAAGCCAATGACCTTTTGGATGCTGTAACTGACCAGGTCAGCCAGGTGGGGCAGCATAGAGAGCTGGGACAGGTCCAGGGTTACAGAAGTGTCATCCGACTCTTCTTCATCCAGATCCAGATTGGAGAAGCTGGACGGCTCCACCATGTCTGGGGAAGACAAGGGAAGAGAAGGAATTATTGAGGGGTACTCAGATCAGGCCGTCCTGCCCGTCCACGAGGAGCTCATGTGCCCTGGCAGCGGGGCCAGCTGGGAATCCTACTGTGACTGCCTCCCTCCAAGGTCACTCTTCAGCTCCAGGCTCCCCTCTGGGGCTCTCCTGTGAGTTGGTGACATCAAAGAGCCAGAGAGACTCATAGAAACAAGACTCCATTAAGCCATGATTCTCTAGACTGTGCGGTGCTTCTAATGATCTCAATCAAAGATTACTTGGGGACCAATCAACCTGTGGAAAACAAAAATGTTTGACGTCGCTAGGGATTAAAAAACTGCAAAGTAGAACATCTACACTTTTCACCTATACACTAGAAACAAATATATTTAAATGTTGATGCCGGTATTTGTATAGATGCAGTGAGTTAGGCAATCCTTATGCAGTGCTGAGGTAAAGGAGATATACATTGTGCAGTAATCCAGAAAGCTATTTGACACTAGGAGTCAAAAGCCTACAATTATGTGTACTCTTTGACCAGTAATACCACTTCCCTGAATTCATCATATGGAAAGTATTTGGAATGAGTGTAAATAAAATATTTAGCCACAAGTACACAGTTATCTTACTGAAAAGCTGGGAAACAATCTAGATACCCAACGATAGGATTTAGATATGTTGTTGTATCTCAAAATACTATGTAGCCTTTAGAAATAATATTCTAGATATATACTGAATAATATGAGAATACAATACAATATACTATTAAGAGGAAAAAAAGAAAGTCATCAGATTGTATATATGAATATATATATATATGTATATATATATATATATGTTTAAAGAAAAGGCAGGGAATAGGGCCGGCCTATGGCTCACTTGGGAGAGTGTGGTGCTGACAACACCAAGTCAAGGGTTAAGATCCGCGTACTGGTCATCTTTTTTTTTTAAAAAAGAAAAGATAGGGTTGGCTGGTTAGTTCAATTGGTTAGAGCACAGCCTTGTAACACTGAGGTCAAGTGTTCGGTTCCCCATGCCGGCCAGCCACCAAAAAAAAAGATGGGAAAGAGAGACATAAGAGTTAACAGTGATTATCTTTGGGTAGTAGGATTAAAGATTTAAACATACATAATTTAGTTTACATTTTCTAAATGACTATGATGAATATGTATTACTTGTGTATAATCTTTTTTAAATTAAAAATGTTAACTTGTTTACATTTTTGGATAGATATATGCTATACTGAACATACCATTACCCTTTCTCCTCTCTGCCACTTCATTCTGGTCTCAGAACTGGGTGTGTTGGAATAATATAGATTGAATTTAAAGAGATAATACGTAGATTAGAGTCAAGCCAGCTGGAGTGGACACAGCAGTGAACTGGAAGTTCCAGGTCCAGTCCTGACGTGCTGGCCCCAACACCAGAAAGGGATCCTGGCTGGCCATTAGACCTCTCTGGGTGTTCATTCTGTCTTTCAGAAAGTCTGGGAAGGGATGGGCTATACCTCCCCAAATGCAGATTCCTGGGCCTACCCCAGAGATTGTGATTTAGGAGTCTGGGGTAGGGGCTGTGTCTCTGTTTTGGGAAGCAGTGGACTAATGGTCTCCAAGCCTTCTTTTTGCTCAGTCTAGGATTCTGACTGTGCTTCCCAGGTGTTGCATTAGCTTCTTACCTGAATCCTGGAATCATCTTGGCAAAGCCAATGACCTTTTGGATGCTGTAACTGACCAGGTCAGCCAGGTGGGGCAGCATAGAGAGCTGGGACAGGTCCAGGGTTACAGAAGTGTCATCCGACTCTTCTTCATCCAGATCCAGATTGGAGAAGCTGGACGGCTCCACCATGTCTGGGGAAGACAAGGGAAGAGAAGGAATTATTGAGGGGTACTCAGATCAGGCCGTCCTGCCCGTCCACGAGGAGCTCATGTGCCCTGGCAGCGGGGCCAGCTGGGAATCCCACTGTGACTGCCTCCCTCCAAGGTCACTCTTCAGCTCCAGGCTCCCCTCTGGGGCTCTCCTGTGAGTTGGTGACATCAAAGAGCCAGAGAGACTCATAGAAACAAGACTCCATTAAGCCATGATTCTCTNCATTGGTGGGGGTGAGCACCTTGAATCGATTAACCTATGAGAGGGCATCAAAACTCCTAAACTCTGTGGACTTACTATTAACGGCTGAAGTATAGACCCATGCATAGCTCATACAGGTCGACCCTCACTGTTGCAAATGAACATGCCATCAAGTGAAAAGTGCAGGAAGGTGGGTAAAGAAAATTAACACATGGGAGGGATCCCTACACGGTGGGGCAGGGAGGATCCATCAGTGATTAGTGCTTCTCCTTAGTCCCTGACCACCTCCTTCCTGTCACTTCAGAGTGGTGGGCACAATGTCTGGCTCTGTCACTCTATCCAGTTGGCAATGTGACCGCTTCCACCAATTCTGGGTGCACACATCCATTACTGAGTCTGATGTACTGTATCTGAGGGTTCTAGTTGCCCAGAGGGGAGGTTTTATTTTTTAACCCTGAACTCCTGCAGGCCCCAAGCAGAAGACCCCAGGGATGTCTGACAGGTAGAGGGAAGAAAGGCAAGGGCAGGAGGAGGCTGAGGCAGGATGAGGAAGAGGAAGGTGAATAGGGCCGTAAGAAGAAAAGCACAATACCTCCTACGCTCCCTGGTGAGCTGGAGGTGCGAGTCTCTCCAGGGCTATATAGCAGTCCCCGGCTTGAGTGG